GTAGTTTTTATAAATGTTGTCAGCTGTCTTAGGACTCCAACTTTTGTTAAATTTTTTAAGACACATGTTTCCAAAATAGTGTAGTTGTTCTCCAATTCTCTTTTTTTTGCGTAGCCACAAGCCAAAAAATGATTTTTGGCTAGATCAGCGATCGAAAGTGTGAATTTCACAGATTTTGTCTAGGGCACAGCGACTGCAATAATGTGGCTCACGGAATTCCATCTTGCTACAAGTTACAAGATGTATTCAGTTAGTACACAGAAAAATGTGGAAACTTCACCTGAAATATTTTTCATGCCAGCGTGATCAGAGGAGACCCTTCTCTTCGACCTTAATTTGAATATCGACCTTAATTTGAGTATCAAAAACTCACCTATTTGTTCAAAAGAATTCTCAAAATACAGGCGTAAATCGGGCTAAAAAGGCATGTAAATGAATAGCTTATACACCAACGATGTTACCGATTGCCTCAAACCCGCGTTTACATCTCTAATTTTCATCCACCAACATCTTAAAACAACGCAAATCCATGTGTTTAATTTTCTCAATTGCGCTCGTGTCAAAGATTATTTGCATAATTCTGAAAATTTACTAAGATCTCCTTTTGACCGTTCAAACTGCGTTTGTTTATCTTTTACACTAAGGATTTTAGGTTTTCATAACAACTGAATGGAGATTAGATGCCTAGTTGTCCTAAAGCGTTGCGTAAACGTGATCGATCGTGACGCTAGAGCGCTTGCGTGACTTACAAATTAAATAAATGTGATCATAAGGGAACGTTTACGGACCTTTTGTGGAGTATTCCCTACAGAAACCATCGAGGAGCAATTTCGTTTGGGCTCGAATGTTTGCCTAATCTTTTTTTCGAAATTCTGCAAATAAGTGATTCCGTAGTGAAGATCGACTTCACAGCGAGACGAATACACTCTTAACTGTCTTTCAAAACGTTTACTTACTCAGAAGAAAGTCTCAATATGGTGATAACTCTTACGGCTAACGACTAAAATTTTGGCAGTGTTACTGCTAACGATTATTTTCTTTCCGTTGCAATTTAAAAAAAATGTTATGGTTAATGCTTTAAGGGAAACGATTTCCCAGTTAATTAGAAAAATGCATCCATGCATTTTCCACAAATAAGCAAACAGTTTGATATCATGAAGTTTTATCAATGGAGGTCGCTTTTAAGCAAGAGACCCAAATATTCTTCTCATTTCGTTCCGGATTACCCCATGCTTGTCAGATGTAATAATCATGTACCTTTTTTTTCCTTCATATTAATAGTGCCATTGCTATGGGCATCGTACAATATCTCCAAGTCATGCTGTTCGTATTCAATTTGACACTCTCCTCTCTGGCAAAGAAAGCGGTAAATTGTCAAAACTTCAAGTTTGCTATCGATGAAGATGTCGTCCATAATCACATTCTTAAGGGTCACGTGTTTCAAAGATTAACAGTGCCCAATGCCATCCAGTGTCACTTGAAGTGCAAAGATGACTGCCTGTGTGTATCCATGAACTATTTCCCTCGCTCCAAAGAAAATAACTGTGAGCTTAACGTTGCTAATAAAGACACGGAGCCAGCGGCGATGAAATGGAGGCAAGGAGGAAATTATTATGATTTGGTGAGAAGCTACACGGTGAAGGTGAGATAACATTGTTCATCTAATTCCTTATTCATTTATTTATCAACTTTCGTAAATAAAATAAATATTCCCACATGATCAAGTTTTGCGGTACTCCTTAAAAAAGAGGTGGGTCATATGTCAGTCCGGGCCAAAGACAATTTTGTGCACACTTTTTTGTCTGCGATATGATTGGTCTCGACAAAACAAAAACAAACTGATTTGGCTGAGAAAGGATTGGGTTCATTCTCTTTCTCGCAAACTTTTTTCTAAACGGCCATGTTGTAATGCGAGGGGGAAGGCAGAACAGAAGTGACTACGAATTTCACAAAGACATCATTGATTTGACCATTGCTGTATTACTGGATTTCAATTCTAATTTGTGATGGACATTTCATCTCCATTCTGGCACCCCACTACGTGTTGCACTGTTTGTTATCAATTCGATGCGTTTCCGGTGAGATTTGTCGATGGTTGCTAAAAAGTATATGCCAACCCAATTCGATGAGCATGCTGAGCTAAAACATTCTTTGAATGTTGCTGTAGGGTGGAGACAGATACGCACTAAAGAAGCACCATTGCACTAACAGATGCTGCCGCACCAATCCTTGTCTCAATAGAGGGGTATGTCGGGAGATTTGTGACACCCACAGCACCAGGTTTAACTGCACCTGTCCTGACACATACTCTGGTCAGCGGTGTGAGAAGAAGATGAAACATCCGAGAAGCTGCAAAGACATAGCTAAGAACAATGCCTCGACATCAGGAAAATACGACATCTACGATTCAAACAGTGATCGGTTTTCTGTTTACTGTGACTTGCAGTCTGAACCTGGCTTTGTATGGACGTTAATACAATCGTTTTCCTTGTCCAAGAGGAATGCCTTCAATTATACAGGGTTTGGAAAAAACTTTGAGATTGATATTGAAGAGGGGGGAGTGAATTGGAATGAGTTCCGACTATCCTTATCACAGATGCAGTATCTTGCTAATCACTCCACGCATCTGAGAGCAACTTGTAACTTTTCTACGGATGGTCTGCAGTATACGGACTACGCACGCGCTAAGCTGGCAGGTCATAACTTTTTTGGTACTTGGGAAACCTGCCAGATGTACGAATATGTTAATATCCGGGGAAACTTCTGTTCTAATTGCACCGCCCTGACAAAACAGAAGGAATATGCGTCCTGGCACATAAAGAGTTACAAAAGTATAAAATTCGGATGTGAATTTGATGGAAAACCAGGTGGAACCCCCAGTGAAAAAAACTTCGGACAATTTCACAACCGGTATATAAATCCGGATCACCGCTGCTCGTTTTCTCCTGCTTCTACAACGCAGCATTGGTTTGGAGCTAAATGTGACGTTTAACTTTTTGCGAATTCATTTCCTTTCCCAGGAAAGGAAACACAGCCAACTGAAAGCAAGAAAACATCGGAGCAAGGCTAAGAACTAACAATGACATCAAGTGCCTCCAAGTTTGGTCCAATTAGGAGTTGAACTTGAACTAAACGTTTAATATTTCAGATAGTTACATTGACTGTTTATCACAGAGGAATATAGACATGCACAAGAGCGACGTCATAAGCAACCTTAGAGACATAGCATCCATATTTTAATAGTTGAAGGATGTAGGCAGTCTCTCTACAAACACTTTTTACCTGCACTTTCATCTTTTCATGTAATGTTCAATAGATAATATACTTACATCTTAAAAGTGAAAGGTCGATAAAATGTTCGTCTTTGAAAACGCATTCAGAGCTCACTATTAGTTGATTTATGCAAATTATTTTCAAGCAAGTGACTAATCGTAAGTTGAAATGCTTGTGTTTAGATTCAGAGATGTTTAAATAACTCTGTACGCTATTAATCCAATTATATTGTTTTGTCGTCGTAAGGCGACATTTTCCTGACTCGGTCAATCAACCATTTTCTCTTAACTGATAATTGAAAATTAGCTTCGGCTTCGTTAGTTTGTGCATTAGTAAAATCAAGCTTTAAGTTTAGGTTTCTTACTTTCGCTTTAAAAAATCCGCACAATGAGGAGAAATGGTATTTACTTAGTGGCAGGGAAATGTTAGTAATTTCTCCTAAGTGATAAATATGTACAGCTTTGCTTGATTTTAATATTAGGGACTCGATACATAACTGTGCTTCTCTTTCCTAAGGACTAAGGTACTTAAGTGCTTCGTTAGGATCACTGCTTACTTTATAACATTTCACATTTGTTCATAAAACAATTTTTGAAATGTTCAAAATGTAGGAGATGAAGTAGGTATAGTAGTTGGAGCAGGTGTTTGTCAAAAGAAGCACCAGTGAAGTGTAAAGGTCATTCAGGATTGTTGTACATAATGTAAGACATCATCTTATTATATTGTAAGTGCCCCTATAGCACGAGTTTCTGTTTATTGTTTGATTTGGTTAATAATCTTTAAAGTCACACTAGGTGGCTCGTCACGCGCTCTTAAGTGTAATTCAATATATTTGATAAAAGGCCTTTTGATCAGTTTTTGGTAAGCACTCGTGCTCGTAAGGAAAGGAATTAGTAAAGGAAAGGAAGGAAAGGTTCGATCGATATCAAGTCTCGCCAGATCCGGCAATAATGTAAGTTTGATTTACCTGAAGCATTTCTTAATCTATTTGCGTGTCTCTAATTTCTTAAATCAATCTTTAGTTTCACGGTATAATACAATAATAAAGAAGAAGGCGTTTCCAAAGAAGTTTGGTGCGGTACTTTGTATTGATCAGTGGATTTTGTGCGGTCCAGCTAGCGGTGGACAAGCGCCGCTCTATATATTATCATATTAGTTGTGGACGATCGTCACTCATCGTAATGTTACGAACTTGTGTTCGTCAATTTCAAAGTCGCATTCCAGACTTTTACTTTAAGCTTGTGGATTTACAGCGACTTTACACTGTTGGACACGCTGTCAATACATTATTAAAAAAAAACCAAGTGACCATGAAGCAAAATTTGTTTTTCTTGAGTTGCGAAGTTTACCATTTAAAATCTACGTTTCCGAAGTTTGAAACGTTCGATGATAAAATTGAAAATTTTGGAAGCTCTTAAAGTTATGCCATTTTCCACTCAAAAATGATATTCGAATTGCGCGGCCAAAGCACCATTTAACAAAAAACCAATGACGTCACTTTGATAACATAAAATCAAATTCAGTATGGCGAATAGTATGAAAGATACGCGGCAACGAGGGCGATATTATGTTGCTGGTAACCCGGCTCTGACCAGCAAAGCTGTTATTATAGATCGTTCCGGCACCGGGCATAGAATGTTTCAGTTCTCGAACGATCCTCATTGTGAGAGGAAATTGGGTGAAATTTGTCTGCAGACAAAGACACGATCTTAACGATCCAAACTGGCCGTAAACGTCGCTTTGTTGGGCAAATTTTGAAGAATTATGCTATGAGCAAAACTTGTTTTTATAAAATAATTAAAATAGTACGCGCGCTCTGATTGGCCATAAAACCATTTTACATGAGCGTATGTAAACACGGTTTTAGTTCCTCTTTCATTAGTTATTTCATAAAAGAAATGTAAAATGTTTTCCGTGTTTACATAGCCTGATGTAAACACGCGGGAGGTTGGGAGAATACGAGATAAGCGTGATGGAGGCCCAAGGGATGAAGATGAAGCGCTTTTTGAGAAACGACATAGTGCCAACCAGGGACACTAGTTTTGTGCGTGGTGTTAATTAAATTTGAGTGTTTCTGTACCGTTTCCTTAAATTGTTTTTCTATTTTTTC